CCAGCTCCCATCCTCCTTCTGGGAGCTTTTATCCTATGCAAGTCTCTTGTTGTCTCGATCTTCTTAGGGATTTCGAGATGAGAGAAGGAAAATTGTTGTTAGGTGGTGAAAGCGAGTTCTTAGAGGGCACAGATGAGGAAACAACAACTGTCCTTCCATTGGCAGGAGGGGGGACTAAAACCCCTGCGATGCCTGATCCTTCCGCTAATGCCAGCATTCAGGGCCAAGAGGGTCTGGCCTTCGTCGATACGGTCGCTCCACCTCCAGAGGACCTTGTAGGTCAAGAAAAATGAGAACTAGTTATATTCCCTTTCCCTCCCCTTTTCTCTCTTTCTCTTTTTTTTATTGTAATTGTACTTTTGACTTTGTAAAGGGGTTAATGAAGAAGTAGGTTCGTTTTGAGTGTTTAAAAACTCAAAGATTTTTCTTTTATTTTTGCTTAATCGAAGGGTGATACAGTGATCGACCCTAAGGTTGTGCCTAGGCCCAAGAGAGCCGGTTAGGTCTTACCTTTTCCCTAAGGCCGAGAGGCAACTGTGGGAGTCGGCCAAAGGGTTGTGCCTTGGTCTTACCCTAAGGAAGTACCAAAGACTTTTCATCGACTGAGGAGTCGAGTGCCTAACTGACTAGGTCTTCCATTTTCTCCTAGGGCCGAGAGGCAACTGTGGAAGTCGACCAAAGTGTTGTGCCTTGGTCTTACCCTGAGGAAGTACCAAGGACTTTTCATTGACTGAGGAGTCGGGTTCCTAGCTGACTAGGTCTTCCATTTTCCCCTAGGGCCGAGAGGCGACTATGGGAGCCGGCTAAAGGGTTGTGCCTTGGTCTTATCCTGAGGAAGTACCAAGAACTTTTCATTGACTGAGGAGTTGGGTGCCTAGCTGACTAGGTCTTCCATTTTTCCTAGGGCCGAGATGCTACTGTGGGAGTCAGCCAAAAGGTTATGCCTTGGTCTTACCTTGAGGAAGTACCAAGGACTTTTCATTGACTGGGGAGTCGGGTGCCTAGCTGACTAGGTTTTCTATTTTCCCCTAGGGCCGAGAGGCGACTGTGGGAGTCGGCCAAAGGGTTGTGCCTTGGTCTTACCATGAGGAAGTACCAAGGACTTTTCATCAACTGAGGAGTTGGGTGCCTAGCTGACTAGGTCTTCCATTTTCCCCTAGGGCCGAGAGGCAACTGTGGGAGTTAGCCAAATGGTTGTGCCTTGGTCTTACCCTGAGGAAGTACCAAGGACTTTTCATTAACTGAGGAGTTGGGTGCCTAGCTGACTAGGTCTTCTATTTTCCCTAGGGTCGAGAGGCGACTGTGAGAGTCGGCCAAAGGGTTGTGCCTTGATCTTACCCTGAGGAAGTACCAAGGACTTTTCATCGACTGAGGAGTCAGGTGCCTAGCTGACTAGGCCTTCCATTTTTCCTAGGGCCGAGAGGCGATTGTGGGAGTTGGCCAAAGGGTTATACCTTGGTCTTACCCTAAGGAAGTACCAAGGACTTTTCATCGACTGAGGAGTCAGGTGCCTAGCTGACTAGGTCTTCCATTTTCGAGTTGTTATGATAATGCAAAAAGCTTGGCTAAAGTCATTTTATCAGATATATTACCAATTACCTAAGGCATGCATTCTTCACAGGGAATTTTCAAAACAAAGAAGTTAAACTGGAATTTTTACAAGAAATACCGTCGTAGGTGTTCAATGTTCCATGGGTGACTGAGGATTTGCCCATCTGGAGCTCTCAGCCGATAGGTGCCGGCTCTTAGCTGTTCCGTAACCATATAAGGTCCTTCCCAATTTGGAGCCAGCTTGTCTTGCCGAGTATCTTTATCGAAGGTCGCTTTTCGGAGGACAAGGTCCCTAGCCATGAACCTTCTGGGTCGAATCTCCTTATTGTAATGCCGAGCTATCCGTTGTTGATTAATGACCTGAGTACAGAGTGCTTTCTCCCTTGTTTCTTCCAGAAGGTCGAGGCTGACCCGGAGGCCTAGTGAATTCAGGTCTTCGTCGAAGTGTCGCAACCGAATAGTCGGCATGCCCACTTCAATTGGCGTTACTGCTTCAGCTCCATACGTTAGCCTGAAGGGGGTTTCCCCCATTGAATTCTTATGGGTTTTCCGGTACGACCATAAGATGCTCGACAATTCTTCGACCCAACGTCCTACGGCAGTGTCCACCTTTTTCTTTAGTGCCTAGAGGATGTACTTGTTGGCAGCCTCTGCAAGGCCATTTGATTTTGGATGTGCTACCGAGGCGAATTTGAGATGAATGTTGTACTCTTCGCAGAAGTCGTGAAAGCCCTTGCTATCAAATTGAGTGTCGTTGTCAGTGATGAGCGACCGAGGCACGCTAAAGCAACAGACGATGGATTTCCATACAAAGTTGGTGACATTGCTTTCACCGATCCTGGCCAGTGGTTCAGCTTTGATCCACTTAGTGAAGTAATCGATGGCTACAATGAGAAACTTCCTTTGCCCTGAGGCTAAAGGGAGTGTCCCTAACAGATCCAAGCTCCACTAGGCGAAAGGTATAGGGCTCAGGATGGGAGTTAACTTGGTCGCGGCTGCTCTTAGGATGGATGAGAAGTAGTGGCATCTTTGACAATGAGACACGAGCCTAGTCGGCTCGGCTAAGGTAGTCGGCCAGTATGTAGTAACCCTATCGGATGATTTTCTGTGCCAGGGTTCGAGCTCCTGGGTGATTCCCACATATACCTTCATGAATTTCCCTGAGTACATAGAGGGCTTCGGGTGGCCGCAAACATCGCAAATAAGGCCCTATGCTGTTTCCGGTATAGGATACTTGGTAGAGTTGATCCTCTATCAAGAGATAGTGACAAGAGTTTCTCAGCAAGCATTTGGCTTCGAGCTGATCCTCGAGTAAGATGCCTTGAGTTAAGTAGAGGAGAATGAGATCTAGCCAACATGGAGGTGTGGGATCTTCTATCTCCATGACTTTCTTCAATGGTTTGGAGATGCTGGGATGTTCCAAGGTATCCATATAGATAGGCCCGGAGTTCATTCCTGAATTTGTCGACCCTAGCTTGGAGAGGGCGTCCGCTCGAGCGTTGAGGGCCTGGGGGACTTGGACTACCTTGGACTCCCAAAATTTTGATAAGAGCTCTTTGATAGCCTCGAGGTATAGGGCCATCCTGGGATCCTTGGCGGCATAGCGTCCATTGATCTGGTGGACTATTAGCTGTGAGTCGGCCAGGATATAAAGGTTTTCAATTTTCAAGGCCTAGGCCACTCTGAGGCCGGTGAGTATGGCTTCATACTCAGCTTTGTTGTTTGAGGCCGAGAACTTGAATGAGATGGAATGCTCATATATTGTCCCATCAGGGCCTCGAAGGACCACTCATGCTCCACTGCCAACTTCCCCGAAGATCCATCCACCTGCAATTTCCACCAAGAGGTATACTCGGGTGACTCATGCCCCAATGTGTGATGAGTGGGTAGAGTCGCTTGTTGCTTTGGTGGTGAAGGTTGTAAGGTGGGCAAATACATGTTTGATTCATCATTTTGGGAAGTCGACTCAATCAAGAAGTCCGCCAAAGCCTGGGCTTTGATGGTCATTCGAGGCTCGAACTGGATTTCATGTTCACTGAGCTCGACTGCCCAAGCGATCATTCTCCCCAACGTCATAGGGGTACCTAAAGGAAGGTTCGTCCTGACGATAATTGTATGAGCTTGAAAATAGGGACAGAGTCTTCTGGCCGTAAAGGTGAGAGCGAATGTCGCTTTCTCTATGAAAGGATAGTTGAGCTCGCTGGCCCGGAGGATTCGACACACATATTAGACTGTCTTCTAAGTATTTTCTTCCTCTCAGACGAGGATAGAGCTCACTGCTTCGGAGGATATGGCTATGTACATGAACAAGGTTTCCCCTTTCATTGGTTGACTTAACAATGGCTTAGTGCTCAGGTAGGCTTTAAGATCCTGAAATGCTACTTTGCATTTAGCCGTCCAGGCTATACCCTCTTTCGGGTTCCTGCTTCCTCTTAGGACTTTGAAGAAAGGGAGGCTTCTCTCTACAGATTTAGACAAGAATCGTCCCAGTGCGGCAACCTTCCCGTTCAGTCTCTGAATTTCTCTCAATGTGTGGGGTTCAGGTAATCGCTCTATCGCCGCAATTTTCTCAGGGTTGATTTCAATTCCCCTTTGGGTAATCATGAACCTTAGGAACTTTCCCGATTGCACTCCAAAGGCACACTTAGCTGGATTGAGTTTCATTTGGTAGTGCCTCAACGTAGAAAAAGTCTCGTCCAAGTCGGAAATATGGGTGCTTGTTTGGATTTTACCAACAAGTTGTCCACATAGGCTTCGAGGTTCCTACCGATTTGGTACTAAAAGACCTTGGACACGAGCCTCTGATAGGTGGCTCCTGTGTTTTTCAATCCGAATGGCATCATCTTGTAACAATACGTGCCCATATCGGTGATGAACAAAGTCTTCTCATGATCATGCCTTGCTACGAATATCTAATTATAGCCTAAGAAGGCGTCCATGAAACTGAGCAGTTCGTGTGAGGCACTCTCGTCGACTATCTAGTCGATCCGAGGTAGGGGGTAGTTATCCTTGTGGTAGGCTTTATTGAGGTCGGTAAAATCTACGCAAATCCTCCATTTGCCCAATGCCTTTTTCACCAAGACGACATTGGCTAGCCATTCCGGATATTAGACTTCTCGAATAAAGTTAGCTTGCAGGAGCCGCTTTACCTCGTCGGCTGCTACCTTCTGGGGCTCTGAGCTAAGGTGTCTCTTCTTCTGTCTGACCAGCTTGACATGTTTGTCCATGGCCAACTCATGGCATATGACTTCAGGAGGGATCCCTGGCATGTCGGCGGGTTCCCAGGTGAATACATCGGTGTTAACTTTTAGGAATTCGATCAGGGCCCCTTTCAAGGGTTCAACGAGACTAGATCCTACCTTGATCGCCTTTGTGCCAGCCGAGTTGATGGGAATTTCTTGGATTTCCTCTACCGGCTCTGTCCTCGGTCATTCAGCCATTTTTTCCATTTACAAACATGCTTTTTTGATGGACATGGTGCCTTGAGCACCCTTTCCCTTGACTGAGAGTAGGTAATAGGACCTGGCTTCTTTCTGGCTGCTCTGGACAACTCCCACTCCATTCGGAGTTGGAAATTTAAGAACTTGGTGATAGGTGGAAGCGATGGCCCGCAAAGAGTGGAGGGCGGTCTGACCCGATATGACATTATGGGCTGATTTCATGTCCATCATGAGGAATTGAATCTGAGTAGTGACTTGTTTAGGAGGAGCCCCCAGTGTCATTGGTAGAGTTATCACTCCTTCAGGGAGGAGGGAATGACCAGTGAAGGATATAAGGGGCACTCTGCAAGGCTGTAGGCGGGATCTGTCGATCCCCATCTGCTCAAAAGCGTTGGTGTATAGGACGTCCATCGAGCTTCCTGTATCGACCATAATTCTCTTCACTTGATATCCGTTAATGGTCGTGGTGATGACAAGAGGATCATCATGGGGTGTTTCAATACTCTGCAGGACCTCCTCACTGAAGGACACAAGCTCTTCTATCCTCGTCTTCTTAGGATCGTGGTCGACCTGTAGCATCCTCCTGGCATATTTCTTATGCTCATTATTGGACGACCCTCTAATGACGGGCCCCCACTAATTACATTGATGACTCCCTTATAAGCAGTCTCCGCAGGCTGATCATTCATTAGGGGCCGAGGTCGGGGGGACCGAGAGTGGGATCTTCTATCTTTTTGAGTTGGAGCAGGGTTCCTACACTCTGCTGGTAGCACGAGATCCTTCAAGTATCCTCTCGCGATCAAATCTTCTAGATCCCTCTTGAGGATCTGACAATTATTAGTGAGATACCCATGGTCCTGATGATATCGACAAAATTGTCTTGTATCCCTGCTTCTGGGGCCCGACACCATCTTTGGCACATGATCTTTGAGGTATCCTTCCTTCTGAGCCGACTTCAAGGCATTAGTGAGAGAGATGCCGGAGATGGGCAAAGGCTCCTTCAAAACCGGATTTCTTGGCTGATCCTTCCTGCCAGGTTGATTAGGACGGGTGTTGACCCTGGGAGAATCCTTGCGCCATTCTGGCTTCTGGTGATCCCGGGACGGCATCATTGCTTGAGGGTTTGAAGGGAAGGTCATCGCTGGCGGAGGCGTATGGGCGGAACCCGAAGTGTCCATTTTTTGATGACGCCTTGTAAGCCCGGGCGTCTTCCATATCCATGTATCCATGGGGTTTGGACATTATTTGCTTGTAGTTGGCGACTGGCTTCTTGGCGAGGGAGTCGGCCAGTTCATTATCCTGAAGACCCACCACAAGTGTCGACATAGCGACTGTGCTTCCGGGATCATTGACTTCCAATCTCTTTGCTTGAAATCTCTTGAAGTAAGCTTTGAGGCTTTCGTCTGGTCTTTGTCTCATTTGGATCAGCACGTGAGGAGGGAACTTCTGCTTTGTGTCTACCAGAAAATGATGAATGAACTTACGACTGAGTTGTTTAAAACTATTGATGGATCTCTTCTCCAGAGTATTCCACCAAAGCTTAGCACTTCCTTTGAGGGTGATGGGGAAGCATCAACATAGAACTACTTCGGATACTTGAAGCATACTCATTATATCAAAATAATTCTGAACATGCTCCGAAGGATCTCCCTCGCCTGAGTACGTCTTTAGGTGAGGCATCTTAAATTTCTCAAACGGGAATTCCATTATCTCCTTAGATAACGGGGTATTTCCTTCGATAGTATCAAAAATTGGTTTGTACCCTCGGTCGTAGCCGGAGGCCCTTGCAGTGGTTAACAAAGTTGAGGAGTTGTGGCGGTGGGGTTTTTTGAGAATATTTCCTTTGGCACGTCCCCCCGAATGGCTAGGACCGGGGTTTTTATCATCATTGTTTAGTTGCTTGGGGTGGTTTTCCGCCCGTTCATAGTGGTTGGGAGGAGGCCTCGATGTGCCGCGACACATCATGGGTTTGAGTTTCCGATCGTCAGTCTTCAAGTGGTGGAAGTTGTTCATCCGTGTGGCTGCCGTGGGATTCGCCAGAGGAGTTCGTTGGTCAGGGTGGTAAACTGCTCTCTCAAAGATGAAGAGAGTTTGTCTACCGTCTTCTCCAATTGACCCTGGGTCACATAGTTTGGAGGTCCCCTTATAGGAGATTGGTTCACTCCTCGCTCAGAACTCGACATTTCTTCTCAAAAAGAGGAAAGTAACCCCACGATGGGTGCTAAACTATTGATGCTCGTGAACAAATAGTTGGGGTTTCCCGCCATCAGATGCAGTTTCGATCCTGGTGATGGTGGGGAAGAAGGAGAGGATGAATGTTGAGGTCACTTTCCTTCTTCAACTTTATGCCTGATTCTCAGAGCTCGGGTGAGCGGATCACTTGCAAACACAAGAATCACGGGAGTATGGGTTTTGTTCCGCGCGTGGTCTCCGACGATCAAGTTCAGACTGTGTGCTTGGTCCGGTCATAGAGAAATAGTATGCCCCCTAATATGAAATAGAGAATTATATTTAGGTAATGATGGAGGAAGACCCGATACTCATTTCAGGATGAATAGAGTCTGTAGTTTATAAGGAGCCAAGGAGAAAGAGTCTTTATAGTGAGAGGATGAGCAAATGGTTGATAGTAAGAAGGTGAGCTTGGCAGGCCTGAGTCATCTCTACCCTATTCGTGTCGATTTTGTGAGTATGGGCGGGTAAACTTAGCAACATGGGAATCAGCAGACGTTAGGCTTATCAATAGGGATTGGAGTCACTTCTGTGACATAGGGAATAGCAACCGTTGAAGGCTTGTCTGCAGATGAGCGTGGAGTGGTAATGATGACCATAAGATGGTAAAATAATGCTGGGATAGTACAATCGTAAGTCGCCTCCGGGGAGGTGTCCTGTTGCTCGAGCAGCAATCTTTTCGCTGCCGACCGAGTCCGCCTTTTCCGAGTCACTCTTTGGGCGAGCAACGCCGCGCTCGACTGGGTTTCATACCTCAAGGATAACATATTTGTATGTAAAGAGAACCCCTATAAATTATCGAAAAAGAAATTAATAAGGGTAATTTATAAAATGAAAAATATTACTTTTCATGAGAAAGGAATTTATATATATATATAATATTATATATATATATATATATATATGTATTATTATATATATATATATATATATATATATATATATATTAATATAATATATATATATATATGAGAAAACGGGGGTGAGCTGCAGGAGGAAATTTCTACGTCAAGTGATGACATGTGAGCCACGGGACATCAATGGACTAGTAAGGGGGGCTCAAATTCATACATTGAGGCGTAGGAAATTTCCTACGCTGCAGACTCACCGTCGCTATTTTCTCATATATATATAATATATATAACATATATAATATATATATATATATATATCATATATATTATATTATAATATATATATATATATATATATAATATATATATATAGTATAGAGAGAGAGAGAGAGATGAGAGGAAAATGGGTATACTTGGTACCAAGGATCCTTGTAGTCGACAGTGGACAGCATTATGTCCATAGCATCACACTAGAAGATGGAGGCATCATTGTTCCTCACCAACAGTCGCAAGGTGATGTATGGAAAGATGTGTCGACATCAACTACCAAGGATCCTTGGCCAGCAAGTATACCATATTCCTATATATATATTATATATATAATATATAAATGATATATATATATTATATATATATACTATTAAATATATATAGTATATTATATATATAATATAAATATATATATATATATAATATATATATATATATGTTTAGTTATAATGAGAAATAGTTTTAAAGAATAATTTTGGAAAAAGAATATATATTAAATAAGAACGTATAACTGATAGTCGTAGAGCGTGACATTTCATGTGCAAAACGATATCGGTTTTTTGTTTTCTGTTTACCACGTTGTTATATTGGAGGATACTTAATTTCAGATAGTCTGTATGAGAAGTTGGATATCTTAGTAGTAAGATAATAATGAAGTCCCCTTATGTATGCATTCATGCTGCAGTAGATTGTTCATGCATTTGATATTTCTTTATAGTTCTTATTCATGCTTTATAAACGGGTTTAATCATGTTCAACATGTCGTGTTATTATTCATTATCTTTAATGTGTTGAGAACCTTAGTAGTTCATGACTTAGTGGCCTCGTGTGTCATGAACAGACTTAGTGACATGCGTGAGTGTGTTGACTGGTTTAGGTGGTGAACCCGAGTTTTCAATAAGGATTATGATTAAATTAGAAAAATGAGAAGAGTTGGGATGGGGAAGTTAATGTTCATGTGATCGGATATAGCTATTGATGTATCTTCCGGGATCACGCCAGTGGTTGGTGTCGCCATTGGGGTTGGTTTGTAGGGCTAAAGTGAAGTGTGTACATCACTTTAGTCAGTGGAATCGTTTCGTCACCCGAGTTTTGCTAGAGTTTGGACCAGACAGAAAATTATTTATGTGTAGTCCATTGGCCGCATGTGTAGCGGGGTTGGATGTACGTAGGGGATTTGTGAACAGTCAGTTATCCGATGATAGGAGCATTGACTCTGTGTGAGATGTGGACTACTGAGCTTTAGGTTGGTTAGTATTCGACCCAGTTATTGTATTCACATAGCTGTATATTACCATTAGATTTCCAGTTGCATGTATCATTGTCTTTCTTGTTTTATTATTGTCATAGCATAAGTCATTAGACGGCGTGACAGGTTTTAATGGTGGCCTATGCAAGTCATGGTCCTGAGTTCCTATTAGTAAGAATATAATGGATAATTTAGATACATATCATGATTTCACCCGTGAGACTATTCTTGAGCCCTTATCCTATTTTCTTGATAGATTTCGTTTCGTCCCTATCTTATCACTCTTTGATTCTGGGACTTCCCACTATTTCTTGTCTCATAACTTCCTACTGTTTCTTGTTTCTTGTCTCCTATGCTTATGGATATTGTTCCATATCTATCCTTGGGTTATTTCTTATTTTAATTCCGAGGGCGGAATTTGTTTTAAGGGGGTAGAATGTAAGGACCATGGAATTTGATACTAGTTAAAATTATTTTTAGTATTTTAAAATATTTAATTATTATTCTTAAAAGAGTATTTATATTTTTCTTAAATTTCTAAAATTTTCTATGATCTAAAGCCTAAGTTTTATATTTATTTAAATGATTTAAATATTATAAATTTATTTAGTACGGTGAAAATCTCTAGAATTTATCCGTTGTACTATCGATACTATTACGTATCATTTTAAATAATATGTTGTATTATTATTATGTATATTTTCATATAATACGTTGTATTATTAATTACGTATTATCTATATAATTTGTTGTATTATTTCTACTGTTACATATTATCTATCATATTAGTATAACTGGTACGTTTTACTATGTATATAATTGTCCCATAATTATTTGATTTTAAATATAAATAAATATATTTTTATTATTAATTATTCTCGTTTAATTGTACAATATGTGTATATTTTGACTATTTCGTATCAACTGTTGTATTAGCACAACATGTACGTTTTTATTTATATATAATTATTCTGTAATTACTTTAATTTTGAAGTAACCCGTAATCTATTTATATTTAATTATTTTTTCAAAAACGCCTATACTATGATTATATTATATATATATATATATATATATATATTATATATATATATATACTATATATATATATATATGATATATATATTTATATATATATAATATCATATATATATAATATATATATATATATATGTATTACTTTTCTTTACCGGCTTTCTTGCCTCTCCTGTTCACACCGCGCCCAACATTATCTGCTTCTTCCTGCTCTCGTCGTCCACGTGAGACTAAAATTCCCGTCGGCCATCGACGCTACCACCGGAGCCATGCGGACCACTTGCCGCCACGTCCAAACCTCCGAGCACCTGCCCCGCTGGCCTCCGACCGACACCGGCCAGTAGGTCGCCGCCGAAGCCCTAACAAACCCGCAGCCAGCCGACCCCGCTCGGCCTCACCTCGCGGCGCTAGCGCGCCTTGAATGCGACCGACGACAAGCCCGCTACCTCTACCAGTCAGGCAGCACCTGCACGCGCATCACTTGCCCAGATCCGGCAAGCCT